TTTCTTCTAGTTCTGGATCATCAGTAGTTTCAAATGTAATAATCCATTGATCTGTTAGATATGGTGTGCCCTCAATTAAAAGAGGTTTAATTGAGGCAATTTTGCCTATATTATCAAAAGTTTCTCTGATTTCTTCTAAGATAATGTCTTTATCGTCTAATAGAACATTTTTGATTTTGATTGAAAGAAAAAATCTTCTTGCATCAGAGAGAATGTAGCTATAATATGTTCTGTTAAAGATTTGTATTTCTTTGGAAGCATAATGCTTCAGTTTTTCTTTGTTTGAGAAAAATAATTCCAAGTGAGTACGTGTACCCTTATTAATGTGTGGCTTAGCTGCAATTATATCACATTCTGCAGTTTCATGAAGTGAGATCATAATTTCGTTTAGTGAGCCAGTTAGATATTGAATATTTAAAATAAGAGCATTATTATTTCTTGATTTTATATTATTTCTTGATGAGAAAGAAGAAAAGGTTGACTGTCCTCTTTTGACTTTAGCAAAGAGACTAGTCCAGGTCCTGTTTGAGGTTTTTTTGCTTTTGTTTATTTTAGTTAAACTTAAGTCTGTTGAAAACGTTACGTATAGGTTAATGCGTATTGTTGTTGTTGGAACTAGGCTTTCGTTGTTGTTAAGTTCTTCATTATGTGTTTCATAAGCAGACATGTCTAGTTTGTTGTTTTGGTCTTCTCTTCTTTCTGAGAAACTTTCTGTATTTTCTAGTGAGACTTGTTCATTCTAACTAAGAGTACTGTTGTCATTGATGTCTTGTTATGCAGAAGTTTCTGAAGCAGTTGGATTACTGCTTGCTGTTGTAATATTCACTTTAGAGTGAGAACCTTTTTTGCTGAGAGTGGTAAGTTTTTTTATGTTAGTATAGTTAATTAACTTAGTTCTTTTGTATTTGCGAGTTTCAATAGTAGAAGTACTATGTTTTTTAGAAACAAGAGGAGATGCCTCTGTTCTGATACTATTTTTAAAAAGAAAAGAACTTTTAGATAGGTTAATTTTGTCTCTTCTAAATTACTCTCAACCTTAAATGCAAGTGGTCAGGAGAGAGAGATCATCAATCCTATTATTATCTATTTTTGTTAATTTATTATAAACATTATATATATTTTTTTAAAAAATAATAAATATTAAAAACACTTAAATTAGAATAAAAAACAATTAGTTTTGATTAAAAAAATAATTAGTATTTTTAAATTAACAGTATAAACTATATATATCAAAAAAGATATTTTATATAATAAATCTTTAGTATCAAAGAAATTTAAATTTGTAACTTTAGTATTAGCTAATCTATTAGCTTTTTTAAAACAATTATTACAAATATTACATTGAACTTTAGTTCTAATACTTAAAAATAAATATATGTAAATATTAAATAAAATATTTTTTACAGAAAATCTAATAAGATTATATAATTATAATAGAGTTAAAAGCATAGCAAATTTTTAAGACATGCTTTTTGTGTCTAAGATATACTTTTTATAAATATATATATTATTTATTATTATGATTAGTAATAATAAGCTTTAATTTTAATTAGCAAATTATATAATAGCTCTATATCATATGATAGAAGCATGCTTTTTAACTTTATGCTTTCAATTCTAGATTATAATATAGTTAGAACTTTAAATTAATAGATATTTTGAATAACAAAAAATATATCTGTAAAAATGCACTTGTTTTTATATTTTGTATTTTTAATTATTTTATGATAAAAAATAATTATTTTATTTAATGATAAGTGTTAAAGTTGCAATAATTATAAACTTAAATAATTTAAATAGCAAATTTAGTTTAAATAATAACTTATATATTTTTTAATATAAAAATATTTTTTTCTTATCTGAAATAATTCTAATATAAAGTTCATAATTAGTATTAAGTTTTAAAGAATTAGTATATAATTTATATTAAATTTTATTTAAAATATTTGATAAGTTAAAAATTAATTTCAAAAAAAAATCTTATATTATAAAATTTAGAAACAGAAATTTTTTATTTAAATAAAGTATTAATAACAATTAATATTAGCTAAAATAAAAACAAATTATTTGGCTTTAGCTATTTCTGTATAAGTTATAAATATATAAATACAATAGCTACTATATTATCAAATATCTAAAACCAAATTTTTAATTTTTTTATTACACTTTTCAGTTCAATAAGCACTTCTAATATTATAAATAATAGAATTTTTATTATAAAATGTTTGTTTTAAATATTTTATATAAATATTTTTATAATTTATTTTAATTGATCTTATCTATTATTTTGTAATAAAATTTATATTAAACAAAAATAAGTATTTTAAGAACAAAATTATAATATAACCTTTAAAGTTAATAGTTTAGCATTTATGCTTCAAGATTACAAATTGCAAAGTTGCTAGTTCAAATTCTAGTAACAGCAATTGTAAAGATGTATTTCTAAAAATAAAGAACTGCAACATTATAGCACCAGAGATCTAAAATATCTAAGGATAGACTTATTTTCAGAAATGACAAATAGTCTATAGTTGAGAAGCCACATAGTAACAAACATGAATTAGAGTTTGATTTGGAATAACCAAAGTTATAAGATATAATGTAAAGCTAAAAGTTTAATAATAAGAAATATTATATGAATTTATAATAATAGCTAGTTCTATATAGAGCCTGGCAAAGCTTCTGATCTTGGCAAGAGTTAGTACAACAATCACTTCTGAAAAGTTTAAAAGTACAGACCAGAGAGGTTGAGGTTAAGTAACCCTTAAACATTGAGAACATTAGTTTAAAAGAAGTATAAAAAACATAAAGAAAGATCCTAGCAAAAAGAAAAAAAATCATAATACTAGTAACTAATCTGATATGTTGCTTTAATTGTCAAACTTATATTTACAATATTATAATAAAAAAGTAGATAACTGAGAATAGTGATCCTAATGTAATAGGTGGGTTGTCATTCTCTAAGTGGCAGGTCTAAGATTCAAATTCTACCAACAATAAAATTTAGTAATTAACTTATAAAAACTGTCTTCTATTGGTCAGTTAGCCTTATGCAACTATAATTCAGGTACACTAAGTCAGGTCTTACTCATCATTAGAAGCTTAAAGCATTTATATAAATTATAATATTATAAAGTAACTGGAGGTATAATGGTGCAAAGGAGTAATTTGGTGCATTGAAAATAACTTAAGAAAACAAGATTTTTTACTAAGCAAGTCGAATCTTATCTACTAAATAAAGTTATTAAAAGTACTATTTTTTAGTTATGTTTAAATTTTGATATAGTTTGGCTAATTTTTCATTAATTGATTTTCACATTATACATCCTAGAGCTTCTTGTACCAAATGTATAATGTGGAAATCGATTAATAAAAAATTAGCCAAACTATATCAAAATTTGAACATAACTAGAAAATGGTACTTTTAATAACTTTATTTAGTAGATGAAGTTTAACTTGCTTAGTAAAAAATCCTATTTAATGTAAAATAATGCTTTGATAAAGAAAATTGATCTACATTATTATATGATTTACTGCAGCATTGTGATTATCACAAATTTATTTGCTGATTGGTTGATTTGTTTTAATTTTTTTGTTTTTTTAGTCATTCATGCATTTTCGTGTTTAAGTCTAATAAAATCTCAAATTACTGACCCCAAATAGGTAGATCTTTTAAAGTAGCAAACTTAATGACTGACATGGGAATTAGACTTTAAGCTAATTTATAATAAGTACCAGTTAGCTCTTCTTTTGTATATGCTTTTTTGTTTTCTCTTCTTTTTTTTTAAAAAAAAAAATTAACTAGATTTTTTTTTTTATAGGTTTTGCTTTGCTTCAAGACTAATTAATATCAGAAAAAGCAAAATAGTACCGGAATGAGTGAACTTTGGCGAACTTTCTAGAGGACTAAATTTGAAGATGTTCATAATAAGTATCAGTTTTTTTTTGTGTATTTTTTATTTATTTGTTTTTTTTTTTTGAGAAACTAACTTTTTTTTTTTGAATCTTGCTTGGTTTTAAGGCGAATTGTATATGAGTATGTAGTCATTATGGCATAATTAAAACAGTTAATTTATAAGTTTTGGGTATATATATGTATGGCTTTAGTTATGTAAATGTAATGCTGTAATTTGTGATAATTATAATGCATTAGCATATTTTTTCTGTAATTCACTATAATTACAACAAATTATAACATTGCCTTACATCTCTAGTTATGACAGCAGAGTTTTGTATTTATTATGTAATTTTTATTTAATAAATTTTGAAAAAAAATTGAATTTTGGCATTACAATTACAGAAATAATTTTCACCCAGGTGGCATATAGACAATTGCCTCCAGAATTTATTCTTTTTTAATAAGTTTGTCTCTTTCAAATATTGCTTTAACTTTTGCTATTTCCAGTATTTAATAATAGGCCACCTTTTTCGTATCTTCACATTTTAAGATGAGTATTTGATTATGGATCTTCTTTTTCATTTCTTCATGTTTTGTGATAGGTATTTGATGATAGATCACTTTTTCTGTACCTTCATGTCTTGTGACAGGTTGCTGAATGATGCATTGCCTCATAAGTTTTTTTTTTATATGAAAGATTTTGCCTAGGCAGCATTATGTTAAAGAATATTAGTAGATTAATTAAGTATTCTTCAATGTGTGTTTTTAAAAAAATACAATCTAGTTTATATAGAAAATAAATTGATATTATCAACCATAAACCTGTGAAATAATTGTTATTTAAACCAAATTTCGTATATAACAATAATCTATTATGATTTATTTAATAAAACTCAAAGAATGTTTGCAATTGTATTTGATTCATCAATAAATTATTTAAATACTTAACTATAATGATCGTAACAACTAAAAAAAAATAATGCATACTAATAGATCTTGAAACTAATAATTTCAATTATTATGATAACTAAAAAAGGAATAATGTATTAGTTAAATAAGCTAAATAAATTAATCTAACCTAATAATAGTAATAGACACAAACATGCAAGATTTGGTCACTTCACTTCGAACAATTAGCTTATTTGATAAATCATATAATTTGTTTATTTATCTTTTGTAATTGTAAGCACAATTATTCAATTTAAAATCTGTTATTTTGTTTTTTTGATCACAAATATAATCAATTTTATTAAATACAATAACCACATGATTATATTTAAATAACTTAAAGGATGTTCATCTTTATTTTTTAAATAAAACTGATACAACAAAAAAAAATTCTTTTCCAAAAAATAAATTAAAAAAATATAAAAAATAAAAACCAAAACTCAAGCTACAACTACTAAAACCTTATTAAAAACCAAGCCTAAAAACTTTAAACCCAAATTTAATAGAGTTACTCACAAAAAAGCCATCAAAGCTGCTCTCAATGAACTTGCCAGTCCTCAACACTCTAGTGTACATGCAATTGCTCTTAAATTTGAGGTTGCAGAAACAATACTAAGGTGTGTAGTAAAAAAAAATAGTGTGCTTAACCATCCTGGCCATCCTCTGATCTTAAGTAGCCATAAAGAAATGCAACTTGTAGGCTACTGCCTGAATATGCAAAGTTTGGAATTCAGTTTAACAAGATCAGGTGTTAACTATTGTGTAATAGAGATTGTAAAAAGTAATAATCATGAAAATCCTTTTAATAATAAAAGGCTCGGTAAGGACTGGTGGGCACATTTCATGAAAATGCATTCAGAACTCTCTTTTTGAATACCTCAGGCATTATCAGAGGCACAAGCACAGTGAGCTAATTTTGTAATAATAAAAAACCATTTTGATAAGCTTAGTAAAATAATTAGGGAAAATTCTCTTACTGCGGATTATATATGGAATATAGATAAAACAGGGTTCGTTATTTCTTCTAGAGTCCAAAAGGTACTTGCTAAAAAAGGTGCTCGTCAAGTCTACAAAATTGCTTATAACAATGTGCATGAGCACATATCTATTGCTCCAACTATTTCTGGTACTAGTAATTATATACCACTATTATTTATCTATAAAGGTATTCATGCGATTCCAGGCTTGCTAACTGGTGCTCCACCCAGTAGTGTTATAGCTTTTATGGATTCTGGGTATATGAAAGAGAGTATATTTGAAATGTACATTAAACATTTTGTTAATTCAATTCCACCTTCTTGTCCTGTCCTCCTAATTCTTGATAGGCATAAAAGTTACATTAATTATACATATATTAATTTTTGTTATGAAAACAACATTCTATTATATGCCCTTCCATCACATATTACCCATATTCTTCAGCTAGCCGAAATTCTATTTTCAAAACTTAAAAAAGAATATGATGAAGGTTGTGATAGGCTTCATAATAATAATGGCGAAATAGTAACAAAATATTCTTTTACTAGCATACTTGGGCCAGTATATATCAAAGCTTTTACACCTAAAGCAATTATGAATTCATTTAAAACTACAGAGATTTGGCCTTTCAACCCTGATGCTATTAGTATCAATCATCTTAATCCCTTACTATTAACTGAAAGAACTGATCTTTTACTACTATTAACTAAACAAACTTTGTTATTACCTTTGTTACCAACATCTTCATTATCTTCATCCTCATTACTATCAACTCTGTTATCTTTATTTTTATTATCATCATCTTCATTACTATCGTCTTCATTATCTTAATCATCACACATATCTTTAAAATCTTTAAAAATAGAAAATGAACATTTTAAAAAAGAAATTAAACAATTAAAGGAAATGAAACAAAATTATATTGCAATGCAAGAAGAGTTAGAGACATTTAAAAAACCCAGTACTTCACCATTGAAACTAATACTGAAATATCCTACTCCACGCTTGTCATCTGCTAATGAGAGTGAAACTGGAGAAGCTTCACAACAACTAAAAAAAAGAAAAACATTGCCATTCGCCTAACTTCTTACTAATAATGAATCATTAAAAGCTTTGAAAGAAGCAGATGATTTAGCAAAAAAGAAAGTTGAGAAAACTAAAAGAAAAAAAGAAGTGGCTGCTCAAAAGAGAGCCAAACATGAACTAAAAAAGGCACAAAAGCAAGCAACGAATCAAAGAACTAAAAAAAAAATAAGATGCCTGAAAATATTACTGTTATCATTGAGTAATTTGTACGATGGTTTTGCTAATTTTTTTGGTTAGGCTATGTAATGTTAAGTAATGTTAGGCTGAATTATTATTAGGAATGATCTGCCGTATTACCCTTCAAATATAAAGTTTTAATTTTTTTGATGTTCTTAAATGAATAATAAAATAATGTAAAAATTACTAGCAAAGTTCTTCTTTTTTTATGATTAATTTAAAATACATTGAATGGAGTATAATTCTTATAAAATTTATAAATAACTATTTTTTTTTTGAAAACTTTTACTAATAACTATTCTTAACCATGCTATTATATCTCTGGTTACTTTACATATATAAAGGAATGTTAATAACTGAAGTTGTATAAAACTTTAGTACAAATTTATAATAAGATTACTAGATACAGAAGACTAAGAAACTGAGAAGATAGAATCTCACTTAAAAATTTCTGAGTAAAGAAGTAAACAAACTTTCAATAATGCTATTAGATCAATAGAAGCTTATAAAACATCTTCATAAAAACAGATAGATAAAATAGATAACAAGATGTATAGAAGAGCATATAACCAACTAGGCTATCAGAATTGCTAGAAAAAAGAATACTAAGATATATTATACTGAGCTATTTGAATTAAAAATCTGATAAGTTTGTTAGTTCTGAGTTGTGATTAGTAAAAAATAATAAAGAAAATGTTAGAAAGATAGATATCAGAATTTGGATAAACTTTACAAGAGTAAAAATAATATAATATAGCAGTTTAAGATTAGCCTTAACTACAAATGTTAGATAACTATAGCATATTATACAAAACTAGGTTAGCTATATATAGGATATAGAAGGATCTAGTAATAATGCTTTTGAGAATATACTGCATGAAATAAGGTATAGAGTTTTAAGAATATAAGTAAGCATCTAGACTTTTTTACCTAACTTATATAGCAAAAATAATCTAGTAATACAATAAAGATTGCAATACAAAGAGTTTAAATAAGCAATGCTTCTAGTTGGATTGCAAATATGACAGCTAGTATAGAACTATCAGCAGACTACTTAAATAAACACCAAAAATATATATATAACTAGTTGTACTCTCTAATGTAAAGAGACTTTTTTGAAACCTCAGCCATGAGTTTCTATATTCTAACTACTAAATAAAAAGCCCTAGTTCCAAAAGAGACTAGTTTAATATATATATAAAAATAGCTAACTATTATATTTTAGAATCTATTCTGCAATATTGAATTATAAATAGTTTTATATCAAATACATTATAATATTAAAATAAGTTGTTTTATAATTATTAACTTAAAACTAACATTTTACAATAAAATTTGATCAATCTTATTCAATTTTAGAGATATAATAATATAACTTATTTATCTTTAATATATTATACAAAATGATATTTAATAGCCAGATTTTTTTATTCTATTTTATCTTATCTAAATTTTTTTTTCATTTTGGTAGTCTTGCTAATACTTTTTATTAAGATTTATGTTTATATACTAACAAACAGTTTTAAATTTAATATACTAAATCAACATCTTACAGTTACTTCTATGAGCACTTACAAGCAATCTGCTGCACTAGTTACCTAAATTTCTATAAAAAAAAAGGAGATCTGGGAGGCTTATCTGACCACCACCTTACAATAAAGTATTACCAATCTAATAATACTTTCTTATAGAGAAGTGAAAGAAAAAAAAAAACACTAAACTAAACTAAACTAAAAAGAAATATAAGAAAAAAAAAAAAAAGAGTCAAAAAGCATATCTTATTTATGACTATTTAGGTTACTAGCACTTTAAACTTATGCTAAAGATCTAACTACACTTTAACCTATACTAAAGAGGTAAAATTATATATATATGATTTTAGAAATTACTATATACGTATCTCTAATTTGCTATAATTTTTTAACTTAAATTCTTCTTTGTTTTTTCATTACACCATATATTAGACTGTATATGTGATTGTTGTATTCCTATTACATCATGTTACAACACATAACTGTTCAAAAAAAGAAGAAGTAAACAATGTCAATCTTTTGTAGAGAAAGAGCCAATTTCTTTACTTTTAAGTAAAAAAATGAAATAGATAAAGAAGATCGACAAATGTAATATGCAAAAAGCTAAACCAAAAAGAGTATTTCTAGTTGTTCATTTGTTTTTAAGCTTTTGATAACCTTTAACCAGAGTTTTTCTCTATTGTTTTCAGAATGTCCTTCTGATTTAGATACTAAATATGTTAGGGAGTCTATCGATAGACAAGACTTAACCTCAATACAAACTAACAGAAGAGTTGTCCATGCCTTAGTTTTTTCATATACTTCTAGTTTATTAGCAACAATCTGCTTTATATATCTAAACAAATTAAAGATATCATTATTTTAAAAGCATAACTCTTCAAACTGTTTTGGTGCTATTTAGTTTAAGTGATCATTTATTTTATCTAAACTATTATTATTATTAATTTAAATCTAATATATTTATTAATTCTAAAGCAATTACAGTATATAAATTGTTGTTTAAATATATATAGAAGTGAGTTAACAGAAAAAAAGATATTAAAAAAACTCTTTTCTGTTTATTACTGATTAGGAAAGGCAAATAGAAAATTATAATCATAAAATCATCAAACAGAAACTTAAACTCTAATAATAAAATACTATCAAGAGTTAAAGCTCTTGGTTTTTTTTTAAAAAAAAAGCTTTTTTAACTAATAAAGTCTTTAGTAATTGAAAAAATTTTAAAATAAGAAAACTCAACATGGGGTGTGGTAACCTAGTGAAGTGGTCAGGTTGTCAACCCTCCAAGTAATAGGTTGGATGTTCAAATCTCATCAATGGCAAAAATTTGAATAATTACCTATGTAATATTCATATTATAACAACTGTTACTAATGATTAGGTTAGGATACCTGTAATAGCAGTCACATCAGCATGACCGGCAGGTTATAGGGCATCTGTGTAAATATGGCATTATACAGAAGAATGCAAACTGACAAATCAGGCAGTACAAATACTAGATAAGTCCTTGTAATCATATAAATACATTAAAATTAGATAACAAAAAGTTTATTTAAGAAGATCTAAGTAGAGAGGTAGCTAAATCTTTGATGGCTCTACTGTAAAGACTAGCTCAGAAAAATGAATACCAAGATCATAGTACTTGGTCATAGTAGCCAGATAGGCAAGAACCTCCAAGTTGAGAGTCTTAAAGATACTACCAACTAGGCCACCAGAATGAACTAGAAGAAAAGAATATTAGGCCGATCTGATATACCAATAGACTGGTTATAGTTCTATATAAGCTATCTGAATTGGAAATTTAGTAAAAAGGCAGGTAAAAAGTCAGATGTATACTAAAAGTATCAAGATTATGCTATGAAGTAGATACTAGAGTCTAAGTGAACTCTACAAAGGCATATCAGTTTAATAGTTAAGCACTGACCACAAGTGTTAGTTTTGCTATAGCAATATCTAGGTTAGCTGTAAAAATAAATACAAAAGGCTCTGAAGGGTTTACCTCAAGGATAAATTAGTCCTAAGGTTGAGATGATGATCTGGATATCTGAATAAACCTAGTAAGTTAATACAGATTATAGGTTCAGAGGGTTTAAAGTAGAACATCCAAGCAAAGATGTTAGATATAGTAATTGGTAGTAAACATTTAGATGAACTTCTTAAATAGGTAATATAGAAAAGTTATATGTGTAGCCAATTGTATGCTCTTCTATAGTGGTTCATTGAACCATAATACCAATAAGTAATTAATAAAAGTCAAAAAACCAAAGAGGTTATTATAATAAAAAGAAAAAAAAAAACTCAACATAAAAAAGAAAAAAAAGCCAACAACCTATTTATAAAAAAAAAATTGAAACAAAACTCAATAATATAACAACAGCTTAAGAAAAAATAATAGCAATAGAAAATAATTTAGTTTTAGTAATAGTAATTCAAAACAAAAAAAATTAACTAAAAAATATTGGCCAAATAAAAACAACTTTTGAGTTTTAAAAAATACATACAATATTATAAAAAAAATAAACAACAAAAAAAAAAAAATAACAAAAACAGTTATATATTAAATGCAAAATATAACAACAACAACATTTCTGATAATTCATTAGCATACAAGCTTACCCAAAGCTATACATCAATTACTAAACAAAGCATGAGTTTGTCTGCCAAGTTGAAATAAGAAAAATTAACTTTTGTTATATTTTTTTCTAAAATCAAATCAGATTTAAAAACAATAATATACTAATTGTTAAAATCTTAGATCTTTGCAGTTTTTTTAATGAAATTATGATTTTCTTATATAAAAACATAGAAGAAGACATAGTTGCAGCTAAGCAATATTTTAAAAAAAGCTTAAAGTCTTATCTTAAAATGATATTCTTAAACCAGAATCAACTAATACATTATACAACTAATAAAGTTAAATTCTTTAAAAAAACATATTGTAGATATATTTTTACAAATACATATAAATTTTTTCTGCCAGTTAAGATCAAAAATATGCCTTTAGGTGCTAAAGAACATATTTTCAATTAGGTCAAAAAGGTGTAGCAACTTAGTGAAGTGAATAAGTTGTTATTTCTTCAAGTGGTAGGTTGTAAGTTTAAAACTCACCAACAGCAAAATTTGAATAATTACCTATATAATATATAGATGGTTTATAGTAACAGCATTTTGTTAATCAGTTAAAATAGAATACTTGTAATTATAGTTGCATTAGCATAACTGGCAGGTCTGAGAAATCTGTGTAATCTATTACACAAAAAAATGCAAACTGGTATCAGGTAGTACAAA